GCGATTCAAATGGTCCACTGGTGCGCTCATCCATTTGGAGTCCTATAGTTCAAATTCATCAGTGAATTGACTTCAACGCATTCGATTTGTTATCACTTATCTTTTGAAAATCAGTGGTGATATATATATATATATATATATATATATATATATATGTACTTACCATGAATTGGCTTTGTGAAAATGATTACTTTGAATGAATAATTCATTTTATTTCAAACTTTTCTTGAGGAGGATTTCACTCTATGGTTTGACGACAAAACACTTTAAAAACCTAATGTTCTCAATTGCACTGGAATGACTCTTATAAATCCTATGCCGGATTCTATGAAATCTCTCAAAATGCTGTAAAATCTAGACACATTGGGCATAACTGAGGCATTAGCAATCCAGAAATCTAGGCTATGACTCTGTGTCCAAAAATATAAACCCAACATTTGTCCTTGTCACGGTAGTTGTAATGATTATTGTTTAACTGTAGTCAGTCTAGGAAATCTATCTTTCTGAAATCTCTTCTCGTTATAACCTCTCTATGTTACACAGTATGTTTTGGCTCCTGACCATGACTTTTCTTGTGCTATATATTATATATATATATATATATATATATAACGAAATAGCACCAGTTAAAATTCGTTGACCAGTCGGTTCCGCTTCGGCGGTTAAATGGTCAGGTGGCTATCACTGTAACTTGAATATTCTGGATTAGATCTCCAGTGTGGTAATGAGCGCATACTACTGAAAAGTTCCGAATTAGAAGTAGACAACTACCCATTATTCTTTGATTTTCAGCAGTTTTGTAACTGATGTCAGTTGCAAAAGAAAAAATATTTCCCCACTATGGTCACCTTTTTGTTTTCCTGGGATCGAATAGGCACATTCATTCAATCAAATTTGAACTTTTTTGTATTATTTTACTCATTTTCATTTATATTTCGAAGTCACAATTCAACTGAAATATACTTCAAATAGGCTTGTAATTATGACTTTTAAAAGCACTATAAATAAATAGCCGTTTAATGAAACTCATTCATTCACTATAAGGTATGTATGAACGTAGAGCCTGATGATGAATTTATCGAAAAGAGTACTCTTTGTTCAATATCCATTATTTTGAAAATTTTAATGGCCATTTTAATCAGTTGAAATGTTGTGAGCCGCCTGTAGCGTTGAAGGTTCTCAATGATTACCTGAAGTATAACGCTAAGCTCAATGAAACAAAGGCTACATTGGGATTCATTAACAATTGCATTGAGTCAAATCACTATCCTAAAGTTTATTACAAGCCTCTACGTCGAAGCAGAGTTCATCCCAATAGAAAGACTCTGAGACGATATGCACTCAACCAAAAAGACTCTTTATCTACATTCATACAAGAGAATGAAATGAATATCGCTCGCAGGCAATATGCGGTGGATGAACTACCAGAAGATTTTAGAACGCCTTTTATGGAATACGTTACTCAAGTTAGTGAACGTAGGGCACAGAAGAAGCAGATAGAGGTTATGAAAGGACTTGAAAGGAAGCCAGAGGCTGGTAAATTTCCATCAGATCCTAAAACGTACGTCTACAGTTATAGTAGTGTTGAATTAAATAAGGTGCAACTTGAAGTACTTTCCCTTGGCCTTCGATTTTGTGATAGACCGAGACGAGTTAATCACTTAGATACTGATATTGAATTTGAAAACCTACTTAGTCAAACAAGAGATCTAGTTCCATCATCCACCCTGGAACTAGAACGCTTCAAATCCAGTCTCGTGGATTTTTGTTATCAGTGCAAAAACTTCAAATGCGACAGTAGACGTTTCTTGACAAAGGAGCACAGGGAATAACTGAAAAAACTGATTAATGATGAGAGACTGACAATCACAAAGCCGGAAAAAGGATCAGGAGTAGTTCTCCTTGATAGAAGTGACTACATTAAAAAGATGAGTGATGTATTAAAGGACACAGAGAAGTTTCAAAAACTTGAGGAGAAGAAAGATTTCAATAGCAAAATAGAGAATGAATTAACCAGACGTTTGAAGAAACTAAAGGAAGAGCAGATATTTTCTGAAAGTTTATATCAAGAAATCAGACCAATGGGCACGTATACGCCAAGATTGTATGGCCTACTTAAAGTGCATAAACCGGGGGTACCGTTAAGACCAATATTTGATATGCAAAACTCGCCCTTCCATGTCATAGCTAGATGGCTAGTAAATCTTCTCAAACCTTTCCATGAGAAGATAGTGAAATATGGCGTCAAAGATGTATTTCAATTTGTAGACAAAATCAAAGATATTAACATCAAGGACAAAACCATGATATCTCTGGACATAACATCATTATTCACAAATGTACCTTTAATAGAAACAGTTAATTACATATGTGAACAAGTGGACAAGCTGTCGATAAACATTGGCATACATACCGAGATCCTAAAAGAATTGATATTAAGATGTACCATGAATGTGAATTTCAAATTTAACGGCATGATTTACAGACAAGTGGATAGGGTGGCGATGGGCTCCCCATTGCGTCACATTCTGGCTGATTTCTTCCTAAGTAAGCTAGAAAATAGACCTCTGGACAACCCTTTCAGTAAGTTCTCATTTTATTACCGATATATGGATGATACCTTTATTCTTTGTAATAATGGTTCTGATAGGAGTACAATAATTAATGAATTCAATGAAGTACATTCGGCTATGAAATTCACATACGAAGAGGAATCCCAAGACAGAATCGCCTTCCTGGATGTCCTAATTAGAAGAAAACCAGGTGGTAGCATAAAAAGAAATTTGCATCGGGGAAAGTACTTGGACAGGACAATATACACATTTTCACAGCTTCGTTCCTATCAAGTATAAAAGAAATTTAGTGAAGAACCTCAGCCACAGAGTTAGAGCTATATGCTCAGAAGAAGTAATTTAAGATGAATTAAGCATTGTATATGATACTTTGATCGAAAATAGCTATCCCGAAAAATTTATCAAGAAACACATGACAAAGAAAGCGGAAAAGGACTACTCACTATCTGTAAACAAGAAGCCACTTTATATACGACTGGAATTCAAGGGCGGTATACCAAATGAGATAATTACGAGGAAATTAAGAAAATCAGTACGAAGAACTCTTAATGTTGGGAAACTACATGTCTTATTCTCTACACGATCGATGGTGATTGTTCGACTGAGATATGAAGTACCTAGACTTGCCACTTCAAATTGTATCTACCAATTCAACTGCGCTTGTGGAGAGAGTTACATTGGCCGTTGCTCGAGGACATCTCCCAGTATGGCTAAGTAAAGGTGTAGTAAAAACCATTAACAGTTCGATATTGGACCATCTGGTGCAAACCGGTCACAAAGCCAGCCAACGTGGAAGAATCCTTCTCTATAATCTACCGGGTGCCTAATAAATTGCCAAAATCATCGAAGCACCGCATGCTCCAAACAGCAGAGGCTATTGCGATTCGCCTCAAACAACCAGTGCTCTGTGTTCAAAAGAAGCAACTCCAGCCCCTACTGCTGTCCTGGCCTTCAGTAGAGACTATAAATTCATGAATTTGCGATATTATCTTTCCTATTGTTTCTGACATTCAGCTTATTCTACGTTGATGCTATTGAGCTGTAATCTATCAATATTATTGATTTGATGTTATTTAAACATTAATGTTGTTTATAACACTAATTCAGTCATTCGCTATAATGTATATATAACTCTGGAGCCTGATAATGAAGTTATCGAAAAGAGTACTCTTTGTTCAGTATCCATTCTTTTGAAAATCTTGAAATTATAAAATTAGTACTTTTCGTAATATTCAAAACGAACTAAATTGATTTTTTATTCAACCGTCAAAATATACGCGAATAACATGTAGCGATATTATTGGAATCTTTTTTATTTAGTAACTTTCCATATTTATTCTTCTGGGCTTATGCAATCAAATGTCTGTCTAAAAAATAAGGGAGATTACATTGGAAGAATTACAGCCAATCAGATTTCTGTATATGCTACATTATGACCTTGCGATTCAAAATATCTCAATCAATATCGAATCTCACAAATATTTAACGTTTTCTCCTTATATCTTATTTCTGTGGTAATTGGATTATTTAAGTGATTTTGACATGATTTTCTACACATATATTTAAAAATTTTAAGCTGGATTCTTATTTATCCTACATGAATATAAACATACATATATATACCTGAAAAGATTGAGTCATTATCAGTAGTATAATATCCGTTGTTTAATTCACTTTATATTCTACTAAATGATTTACAAAAGCAACCGTATACAAGTTTAAATAATAACAGTAAGATTCTTAATTTAAACTATAATCAATTGATATGCCAAAGATCAGCTCTTTTTTATTCATTTATTTGACAGTTACCTATTTACTAATTCTAATTCATATTTCTCAATGTATTTGTGTAATTCCAAAGTGTCTCATTAGCTACAGCATAAGCGAATGAGCTAATCTTTTAAAAAAATTAAACTGGTTAGTTTCAACTGTAATTATGTGTTTAAACAAAACGATGAAATATACGATGGTCGTATAATAATAATAATATAATCAATTAATTGCTATTAAAGAAAGTATTCGTATTCATGTGATGCCTCTATCACCCTCCCTTGTCCAGTCTAACTTCATTTTATATTTTCTTAGCTTAAATCACATACTGCCGACAGAAATCTCTGATGAGTGTGTATGTATTTGTTGCGTCTATGTGCACACATGGAATAGACCAATAAGAATCCACTACTCAAACTAATTGTGTTCTTAAGTGGGAACCAGTAATGTACCTATAGGCTTAGGTTTTGATTCAGTTAGCGTAATTATCAAATAACACTCATGCATTGATTCATACACACACATATATATACCTATACATTTGTGTATATTCAATGAACAGATTAAAATACGTGGAATTATTTTACTATATCTGCAAACAGAATTAACTCATCAGAAGATAACATCACGAAGAGAAGAAAAAAGTAATAACCAGACATGATTATTGAAATGCGTCGTTTGAGTGTTGGCCTTTCATGCCTGGCAGTAGGTTTATCAATTGCAGCATTGATTACAAGTTCGTGGGATTGTGGGAATCTGTTCTCCTCCTGTCAACGTACATCATATAAAGACACGGCAGCAGCTGTTGCTGGATTAATAATATTAGGCATTGTTTGTCTACTAATCATAATTATATTAGATTCTGTTGCATTTTGCTCTGAGGTATTTGCTTCACGTGCTGCTTATACAACTATACGCTTTATTATCCTATATCTTGGATCTGCTGCATTATTAATCGGTGTTCTAGTATATACATCTTTAATTGGATATCATTGGTCATACTTTTTAGCGGTTACTGGGGCTGTATTAGCAACACAAGTTGCAATACAATCAATTATGACATCGAAATGCATCACTGTACGCAGCAATACAACAAGTACAAGAATAATCAGAGAAACTCGAGTTGCACATCGGTAAAACAAATAAACAAACAAGTGAATGCAAAAAATATTTGAACTATAATATACATTCCGCGGATATATAAATAAATTTTTATTTATCTACATACAGTTATATATGTAATATTGTTTAAACATTCTTTATTATTCATATTTATCAGCTTTACTGTCCTTACGATATATATATATATATATATATATATATATATATATATATATATATATATATAGACTGCATTCCTTTTTGAAACTCATATTTTCTCATTTAATTTTACAGAAAGTTTTTAATATATGCATATACATATATTTAAACAGTAGTTAAACGTGAGCTACTTTTGAAATATTTTTGTAAGACTAGTTAGCCGAGAGACGGGTTATGTAGAAAATGGAAACAAGTGATTCAACGATGAGATTATTTTCTAATCCAAATATTTATCAAAAATTTATATATGATGGTTTTTGAAATAGTATTGTTAACTGCGAGTAAAGATTTGTGATGATAATCGCACCTAAAGACTGAGTGATAGTAAAACATTAAGTTGAAAAGGAGAAGGCAAACAAAAGAAGTTCGTTCAGTCAGCCCGTCTTTCTTGATCGTGATCGTACAGTCACTGTTTCTACATTGGCCTTATTTATTTTTCATTTTATTTAACTCGTTTCTATATATCTATCCATTATGCTCTCTGTTGATACTGTTTATCATTCATTTATCACCACCCTTTAGTATTTTAATTCAATATAGTTTTTGCAATCTTATCCTCATCTTGTTAATTAGTGTTTTTATTTATTTACCCACGAATCTTATTACTTCTACTCTCCTAAAGATTTATACATTCCATGATCTATTCCATATATTTAACAGTTTATATATATATATATATATATATATATATACAACTGTAGGTTATTAATAATTTTAATCCACTGCCCTCCTAGTGCTACAAAAAACTTGAGTGAAACATCTCCATGACACTGCGTTCTTTATCATTACTTTTCAATAGGTAACTGACATATGCACGTGCATACACATAAAAGATGATCAGAAGATTTCCTTCTTACATTATTTACATAAACTAGTTAACTAATATGTAAGAGACAAATTGTTTTCCTCTCAAAAATGTTTTTTGAATTCATTTATTCAGAACTATTCAGAAGTGAGTTATTTGATCAACTAGGCTAGGTTAAATGAATTCGCTCACTGAGTAACTCAATGACATTAAGTTTGGTCTTCAATGATAAGGTTTTTGTGCGCTTACTTCTGAGAAGTTTAGAGAGAATAGAACGTAACAGTCATCCAGTACTCTCTTTAGTATTTAGTAACTCTCTAATTCAATACTGGTTGGCATCCGATGAAATATTACTTAGAATTCCATATTAGTTTGTTTATTAGATGTATCACAAAGTGAAACAGTATTATTTACTGTTTATTATTATTATTATTTATTACTGTTTCAATGTGTGATACATCTAAAAAACAAACTAATACGGAATTACTTACTACCACAGTGCCAAGTTTTACACGTATATTACTTAGAATATTACCAGCAAAGGAACGCATTAAAAATAATATCACTTTAGACAATACATGATGTTTTGCTAATTGTAAATACTTTTTAGGCACTATAGTGTAGACTTGTAGCCAAGTGGTTATTGATTTTCTTGTTTAAAAGCATATTTTGCTGATATTTTGCTTTTGTTAAAATATCATTCTGACGATATATTTACGTTTAATTAGTTTGCGTTACACAATACACTCAGATATTGAGGTATTGGTGACTTAGCTTCATAGATTTATGTATGATAATAATTGGTCACTGAGAAGTAAAGCGTATCACGTGTCCAATCAATAGTGGGACTAACTGAATCCTTTCAGTCAGTGTGTGATTCCATTACATCTGTGGTACTGCGTGAAGCAGGGAGGATTATTTCCTTTGAGGTTGCAGATACTCTTTTTTCACGAATGCCAGTAAGCAAAACAGCGAAGGTATAGAGCATAAAGAGGATTGCCTCTGACTGCATAACACGCATCAGTGTACTACATGGTAACTGGCATTACATACATACCTTGAAGTCAGTTTGTACATTTTATTTAAATATGTTGTGGTATGTTAGATTATCCTAGTCATCACAGTTGTCTTGGGTGACTTTCGAATCGCATAATAAGTACTATAGGTTACATTCAGTGTTCTGATAGATATGATTTTGAAATAAAAAGAGTTTTTGTACTTTTTTTGATTGGCAAAATCTAAACCCACTGAATGTTTTACCTCTCAGTGTACGACTATGCATAAGAGTATACCAGTCCAAGTTGTCGAATGTCAAAGATGCAAACATTAAAATAGAGAAAAAAGTGGGAAAGGATGTGAGTTTGATAATAATTAGATCAAGATCAAGGTTTTATTGATGCGGATAATAAAAAGGAATAAACTTATTTGCGGCATTCACAAATATTTTGAGCCATGTCACCATCATTGTCCAACCACTGATTCATAGCCTCCTGAGAATTCCAGCCAAGAAGGCTTCACTCGAACTTACAATAGGAGACTGATCCTCATCTTAGCTTCAAACATCGCGCGGAATTTCTTTGTCCCCGTACTTGCTTCTTCTTTTATCGAAGGAAGCACACCAGCTGATCGTTTCCCCGGAAACTTTCACCAGCCAATGTCATTTCATTTCTCCAATTTAGACCAAAAATAAGCTTATATATATATTTCTCCTTGCTTTCAAGTTTTTGTAGCAGCTGGTTCAATTTCCCTGGGGTAGATAATCGATGCTCCAAGCCCAACCTTCCTCCTTTTTCTAGGTGTAGTACCTACTAGAAAACTAGGCGAAGTTCGGTGTGACCACCCTCAACTCTTTTTCAACCCAGTCATATGTTGGCTTACTCTGATCGTCAAGGAAGGCGGTGATTGGGTATGAGTAACACGTGTAAGGAAGTTTGCTACAAACAGAATATGATGCATAATTCTTGACACCAGCATATTCATAAATGTGTAGTTGTTACTTACTTTCACTTTTAAAAAATATCAAAAACATTATATTTGCGTGATTTTCTATAAATCTCGTAAAGAAATGATTTGTTGAGAAAAGATGTTTGCAAAAACATTGAATCTATGGCTTGGACAGTATATATATCCCATTAATTACATACCTCTTTGTTGTATAATCACTTCAGTCAGATGCTGTGAGTAGAATATGCTTTATTAGTTTTTCAGGAAAGTAATTAAAATACACTAGTGACCTGCTTACTGCAATGCATTAACCTAATAGTTTTATCTAGCGACACACGAACAGACTATGAGAGAAACGGAAACCAGTTGCAGTGAAAGAGACAACTATTGTTCATGAAATTTTGATTCATTGAGCATTGTACGATCTTCTCTATGTCATCCTCGAACTCCTCACTCGTCGTTTCTCATTCGGGTCCCCGTCAAGCGACTTCTTTCTGTGGTATCCTAAGAGTGTACCTAGACCATCTCCATTTTCTTCAAGATACTTGTTGAGCAATATGGTCTTGGTTGGTATTTTCCCATATTTTCTTAGCGCTTATTCTTTGTGATCGGCTATCTAATCTTCAGTATGAGACGAGCAAAGAAGGCTGTTGATAAAAGTCTGCAGCAGGCCATTGGAAATGAAATTCTTGACACGAGTCCCACGATTTTGACCCATATAGAAGATGTGACTTAACCTTGCTATTGGAAATCAGATAATTGTTCTTAATGTTGCGGGATGGAGAAGGTTTCTTAATTGATTTCAGAGTGACGAGGTTACACCTTGCCTTTCGCATTCATCCATTACATCTGTAGTTCAGACCGTGTTTCCTAGATAAGTGAAGGATTTATTCCTTTGGTAGCTATTGGCTCTGGTTCCTGTTGTTGTCTATTTAGTCAGTTGGTTACTTTCGTCACGTCCATCTTATCCATGTTCACCTGTCCTCTTGATCCCCATATAATCTAGTACACCAGAACTAGGAATATCACAGGTGACGATAGTACACAGCTTTATTTTACTAGTGTTTTCGCCTCAAACACCTTGTTGAGTTTTCCGCTGTGGACCACCTGACATTTTTTTTTGTTTTACAGCTTGATTCCACACTGTATTTTCGGTACAAGTATGGAATTTTCAGCATGGATATCGGTAGCCCACATTTTGTAGGCCGACCATAGATATCAGGTGTGCGTCGGCGTGGGCTCGAACCCCGGACCATGTGCATGGTCGGTGAGAGTCCTAACCACTGTGCCACCGACGCACTGGCATTGTCACATACCTGTTGTATGAGAGTGATAAAGACTTCGAAAACTCCACAGTGTTAAAACAGTTTCCAAGTCACTTCTCATTCAACGCTTGCGAAGGGCTTCACGAGGTCAACGAAGCTAAAATAGAGGTTTAACTGCCATTCTATGCTATGCTCGGTGATGATGTGTGGCGTTGAGACTTGATCAGCACATTATTTTCTTTCCCTGAATCCAGGTTATTTCGACATGCAGAGTTCTGAATCTAATTCATCTTTTATTCTCTCCAGGTTGATAAGATTATATATATATATATATATATGCCCAAACCAAGTTCACTTTAAAGAGTTTTAAGACATCTAAGTATTGAGTATATGACATTCATTATTGTCAAAGTCCCTGTGGTTCCCAATGGATGAAAATAAAACGATATTGCTTTCCAGGTGTTGATTTGCTGGAATTCGATTGAGTTTAGGATTTCCTTATGAGCCGACATCGGTTAGAGCACTTTTGGCAAACCAGCTGGGAGTACAGAACAGATCTTCTACTGAAATTTCACTATTTAATGGTAATAGCTTTATCAAAGTATCACTAAACAAGAGTTTTCAAAATCTCAGCTTACATATATCATACGTAATCGTCTTTCTTTAGTATGATGTAATTTTTACGTTGTTTAGTTG